CAGGCAGCTCTCCAGCCACACCTCCCCCAGAATGGGCCACTCTGTACTGATTTAGCCGATAAATAGACTGGTGAAACAGATGCTGAAGGCCAATTGATTGTTCGATACAAGAAAGTCTTTGAATTTATTTTGCACGGTGATTCTCAGAAATGTTGCAACAATAAGGCGTTTTTACTCTGCGTGTTGCAGTGGTTTATAATCTACTTTGTACGTGTGTGCCTTCTAGTTTTCCGTTTCAAACCGTGTGTGATTCTCCTTAGTGTCCTCTTCGTTCGGTTGTTTTTTTTTCCTTTTCCTCAGCAGCGGAAAGCAGGGTCCTAAAAATATAGAGGAACAGATATTGGACATTAGGAAGAATTTCTTTACTGAAAGGGTTGTCAGGCATTGGAACAGCCTGCCTGGGGAGGTGTTTGAGTCACCATCCCTGGAGGTGTTTAAGAGAAATTTAGATGTTGCATTGAAGGACATGGTTTGGTGGCGTTCATAGGGCTAGGAAAAGGTTGGAGTTGATGATCTTGAAGGTCCCTCCCAGCTGAAACTGTTCTATGATTCTGTGATTCTATGAGACAAGTGTTTTGCTAAAAGTCTGAAGAGTCATGCATTGGGGTTTGTTAAGATCTGCTTATCAGTTAGTGAATAACAGAAACTCTCAGTAAGAGTCTGTGTTCCCGAGCTAGGCGAAGTGAGCAAGTTATTGTAAGGGCAAGGAAAGTACAAGTGCAGGGTAGTCACAGAAATTGTGTGTTCATAGTATTCCATTGTGGTTACTGCTTCATGCTACATCACAGTGAAGTGTTACAGAATGGGGAGACCTTGTAAGATACTACTGCTTTTGGCATTTTTATAGAATTATAATGAAGTAATTGTGGGCTAGTTAGTGAGGCTGACCGGGATCATTTTGATGTAAAATACTTTGCGGAGCCGAACCATGCTAGATTTTTGCTATACTTGAAGGATAGAGATCCATTAATCCTCTGCTTAACAGAGCAATGTAATGAGCTATCTACTGCTCTAAAAAGCAAGATGTACATCTGCTGCAATTTTATTTCATTGTGTTTTATTTTGTTTCTTCAACAGGTGCATGAAGTATACAAAATCTACTTGTTCTCTCTCTTCTTGGGGTACCTTTCGCAGTTTGAAAATTCAGCCTTACTAGTGTCACCATTACTGAGTCTTGTAGCAGCTTTTATGCTCTCTAAATGCCTTCAGGTAACGAGACTCTTCTCTCACTCTGAGTGTAGTTTTTAGATTTAAACTGAGCTCCAAATGATATGGCATTCTTAAAATATTTTTGCAGATGAACATGAAAAAAGGTACATTTATGTCAAGATTGCTGAAAATAATATACATTTATTTGGTACTTACAATAACAGTGACACTAAACTTCTTACTAAAGGTAAGATTCCTTTGTAAAAAATTGTTTTAATTTTCAAAATTCAATGGAAAGTTGCAGGTGTATCTTGGAAAAATCTTTTGAAGTGTTACTTGTCTTATTGATCTCAGAGTTCATAACTTAATTCATAGCAAATTACTCAAGTTTTAGTGCTCCAATTTTGTACCTATGTAAATGTCTTAAAAACTCAAGCATCTGCTTTTTATTGGGGTTTTGGTCTTTGGGGTTGAGGATAAAACATAGTATAGAAATTATCTTTAAATCATACTCCAGCTATTTTGTAAATGTGTTTTTTGTTATAACTTGGATGGCCTCTACAAACTGGTCTGAATATTAAAGCAAAATTCGTGTGCATGGAGAAGACCTAACAGCAAGGAACGGGTATGAGTAGTCTCAGGGTAAATGTTAACTTTCAATTAAATTTCAACTAGAACATGGGAACAGAGACCTTCACGTAATGTAGGGGTCAGCTAGGAGTTGAAATTGCACGATGGAGTTTGTCTTGTGTTTTGATTAGCAACTCATCTTGCTGGCTTTACTCTTTTGCATAATGTATAGTGCTTTTCCTCTGTGTTTCAAACACACACTGATTGTGTTAATTAACCGTGTTGACTGGAAAATAAAGAAGCTAGTGAACCCTAAAAGGTTTGAGAGAATGCTCAGATTCCATTGTCTTCTTGTGCCATTCAGAATGGCTAGCCTTGCTGTATCCCCAAGAAAATAAAACCTAACCTTGAAAAATATGATTTAAATTACATAGACACTACACAGAACTTTTTGACTGCTCAAACAATTTATGTGAAGATCACAAACGCTCATAACTTTTGCTAGGCTGCAGTCCTGTTGTTTAGCGGAGCCAAACACAATGTTCTTTGGCTTGCTTGGGCGTAAGTCTGTGTCCATTTTTGATGATCCTTTTTACACCTCTTGGTAGTCCTTTGACAATGTATTGACAACTTTTCACTTGACTCCTGTTGGGGTACATGAATGAAATGAAGGGGATGATATTCTCAAAGAAATCCTAAATATAGATTTATTTAGGTGGAGGTTTACAATACTGTACCAGTATCTCAATCGGCGCACTTAATCCAGTTTGTTATTTTTAACTAAATCTTGAATAGTTGTTTCCTTCCACTTTATAATCTGAATGAAGTGACTGTGTGAAAGCCATTTCCAGCACTTCATAAGATTTTTCTCTGCTAAACTAATTTTCAGATGTTTGTTCCTCATAAAGAAAATGAGCATTTGCTGAAGTTCATTGAAGTAAAACTTGGCTTAAACACAACTAAGTAAGTTTTTTAATTCTTTACACCTTCTAAGATATCCAAACTGCTCTGAGAATTGTATAATTTCAGTAGCTTGTGAGAATTTTATAAAGGAGTTACGGAAACAGTTTCTATTTGTGATCTATTTTTAAGATTGAATTAAAAAAAATTATGCATATACAGAATTTACTCAGGATTTTGAGGTTTCTGAGGCACCTCAATACTTTTCATGCCTTAGGGTGAAGGCACTTCATAGATTTTGTTTTCTTCTGATGTTGAAGAGCAAAAAAACCTGTACCCTGTCTAGTGTTTCTAATAAGACTTGAAAGCAAAGATAATAGGGTAAAGGTGTTAGTACTAACTTTTTATGGCCTGGAAAAGAAAGGACTCTGAAAAGAGTAATGAACTGTCAAAACTATCTCAAAGCAGGGTTGTGTGGGGTTTTGGTTTTAGTTCTGTAAGGATAACACCCCCAGAAAAAAAGTGTTTTGGAAGAAATTGTGAAAAGGGACAACTTAAAAACCAGAGGGAATTGTTGTGATTCTGAGAAGAACTGTTTGCATCTGTAAAAGAGTTGAATGTTAGTCTACAAGAACAGGACATCATGGCTACAGATTTTCTGAAAAACTTCAAATGGAGTATTGGTAAGGACTGAGACACCTCCTGGACCCAAGCCAAGACTTGCAATTCTGTGCAGGAATTGGGACTCTTTCCTGGGAATGCATTTCTTTTACAGAACTACTTCCCAGTCTTGCAGGGCAAGAAGTCGAAAATGATATCACACATAATTGGAGTTGTTGGGAAATTTTTGGAAGACAAGATATAATGACATTGATGAAGATCCACTGTTTTAACATACATACATATGCATTCTTAAATGTTTTTCAAGAAAAGAACGGACTCCTGGTCTGGATTTCAGTTTATTCAACTACTGGGTATTATGGATTTTTATATATATTTTTTTTTTTAAATCTGGGGACTTGCTAAATGTTACTTTCCAGGCTGTCAGACTCCACAATGAAGTCAATGATTGAGACAAACTGTAACTACTCCTAGAAAATTGTGTAACTGTGGGTTGGAATTACAGTTTGCAGCACAAGAGCTTCAAGATCTGTCTTTTAAGACCAGCTTGGACGTGCCCAGCTGTTAATCTTTAAACTGATTCTGTCTAATTCAAAGTCGTTCAGTTCTCTGGTCTTCCCTCGGGGGAAAAGAAAAAAAAGAGGGAGGAAAGCATAACAAAATTAGACAAGAGTGCATTCACAGCATCACATGCTGCACCAATTCCAGTTGAAAATAGCCATTGATAGTGCTTCTCGGCAGAGTATATAATCTTTCTGCTCATTAATTGAGAAAGAAGAATGGAGTGGGTTCAGCTACAGAACTAGTTTCTGCATTAAGGATTCTGTTCTTGGCAGTGGCTTGGGCTTGTCTGTGATCTCAGATGACCACTTTACCTTCTTCATCTCCCTGTTTGGAACGAGGACAAGCTTACCTTCTTGGATCAATATCTCTAAAATCTTAAGCCACTGTGACAACAGAGTGCTTTGTGGTCCCCGTAGTGGAATTGTATGAGAGGCTGGCTATTTGTAATATAATAGGGTTGTAGTCTGGTCACTTCAGATCAAAGTTTCTCTTTTCGAAGATAAGTTTTTGACAGTTACTCTAAAGAGTACTTGGAAAGCGACTTCAAATGATACAAAGATAACTTTTTGAAGACTAATTTCAAATAGCGTCCTATGACATGAGTAGCTTAAACTGTGATTCGTTGTGTGCTGGGTTTTTTTTCTGGTCTGTGGGGTATTGTTGTTGTTTTAATTGGATATTTTTTCCTTACTAGGAATTTTACAATGAATTGGCTCCTCTGTCAAGAATCTCTTCAGGCACCCTCCCAAGACTTCTTTTTGCGACTGACACAGTCATCGCTGCTGCCTTTCTATATTTTAGTATTAATTATCTGCCTTTTTTCGGTAACTCAGGTCATTTTTAGGAGAATTTGGTAAGTAACTTACTTATACTGAAAAATAAGTTAAAAATAAGATTCACAGGTGTCTAAATGAATGGTCAACATGTTTGTTGGACAACTGAGCTTGCCAGGGTGTGAGCCTCAGTGGAAAAGCCCACCAGAGGCTCCTAAAGAAAGTCCTTTAGTGAGGAGATTCTTGAGAATCTCTCCAGTCAGGACAGGGAGTTGTAATTGGTTTGTTTCCCCATAGGTGCAATGCCTGCAGAGCTTTGGCTAATGTTTTCTAATATGTTTAAGTCTCTTCCCATTGCCAGGGACAAAGATGTTTTGTCCGCTTTCCCCTTCCAACAGCCAAATTATCTGGTCATTGCTAGAGAATTTATTTCTCTGGTTGACTGTGAAGGATGGCATGGGTGGAGTTGGGAGGATTTCAGATTTACTCTTGTTAACAGTGATAAGATCCATCAGCCTTTTCTACTCAGAACAGAGCTGAAGTAAAACTGACTCGGTTACATGTGGTTTCACAGAAATTCACAGTTCCCTTGAGGGAAGGGGTAGTGGGGCTCTTTGTTTACAGACTAAGAATGCTGCAAAACGCTAAGAACACTTCAGCAATGCTGCAGGTCCTAGCAAAACTTGTCTTGCTCAGTGGCTACGAAATTATCTTTTCCTAGTAGAAGATGAATGGTGTAACTGCTCAGGCATTAGGGCAGATTTCTCACTTGTCTGCAGCAAAAATCAACAGATTTTTTTCAAGGACTGAGACTTCTAATGGATAAAGACTGTGGTGGTAGGTGAAAATGTTTGTCAGGTTGGATGTGTGATAGTACATTCAAACAATGAAACAAACTTCTGATTTTTTGCTAGTGGTTGAAATAGCTACTAATTACTTGTAATGAGCAGTGACTACAGTATGTTCAACAGCTTTTTAAAGCTTAGAATAAACCTTCTCCCCCCCTTTTTAAAATTTTTTTTTAGTAATTTTGAAGCAGTCAATCTCAAATACTTTTCCTTCTGTGATGAGGAAGCTTATAAAGTTGTAACTAGAAAATGCATCGTGGTAGAATAAAATGGTTGTCTGTTGTGTGCTTTCCTGTCTCATTTGTAGAAAAATGTATGTTGTAAGATTTTGGTTATGATTTTTATTCATATTACTAGAATTTATAATAATGTGATTAAAATCTGATTTTGTTAACTTTGTCATAAAGGGTATACAAATTCCATAGATGATTATCATCCTACAGATTCCATAATTCTTCACCAAGCTAATGGTATGAGGAAACTTAGTTAGGATGTATATACGGCGTGCTTCATCTAAATGTTTGCAGAGTGTGCATGCTCTTAAATTAGACTGTCTCTTCGTGCTGAATTAACTTAAAATACGGTCACAGGCAGTGATCCCATTGCATTAATTCACAGCCATTGCTCTGGAGAGGTTACAGTCTAAACCAAGGGACAGTGAGTACTGATAGATTATTGATGAAGTACAAAAAAAAATCCCAAACAAGCAGTGCAACAATATTGTATGATGGGGCATAGAATGATATCAGTGTGCTGCTGACTTAACAATGATAAAAATATTTTTATTGGCACCTTTGCCTGAGATAATGTCTGAATTAAGTGATGTCTCATTTTCTCCAACTGCAGTGGTGAACCACTGAAAGAGACAGTTAAACTTGAGGATGGTCGAATTGGAGAGAGGCCAGAAATAGTTTATCATGTAATTCACACAATTTTACTTGGTTGTCTAGCGATGTGTTTGGAAGGGTAAGTCTGATTTTGATGTATCTCTTTTGAAAGCAACAAGAGTTCCTAATTGGACATGATACACCATTCACCCCCTTTTTCAGAAATGTGTTTGGCATATAGTGTACTAATTAGTAGAGGAAAGAGTAAAGATCATTTTGATTGGATACATGTATATGATGAATTGTGCTTGTCTCTTAAATGTGTTTTCCAAGCTTCAATGCAGCCAAAATCCAATACATCAGTTGAAGCATATTTTAATCACTTTCTTTAAGGTATTGAAAGTGTAGAACTGCTGTAATTTTAATATTGTATTCTAGCAAGATTTTGTGTAGTGTTTTGATAAACAGTGAATGTTCTGGAATATTGGAATGTGGGAGAGGTCTTATCCATCTTTTTGGGTCTCGGCTAGCATGAAGTATACCTTTGCCTGACATGTTAAAGCAGTAGCAAAACTATTTCCGTAGGTATCGTGTTAGTCCTTAAAACTACAGAAGTTAGTGTTTGGAAGACATCATCTTGGCTCGTGGCTGAATCAGCTTGAAGGTGGCATTGTGTTTGTATCGCACTTACCGGCCTTAAGTCTGAATACTCACAAATTCTTAAAGTGATCAGGCTGTTATGTTACCATGTAGTTGTTTTAACTTGACTAGACTATGCTTAAGAGGCAGACAATACCAGCAAATCATAAATTGTTTATTAAAATTTTCCTTTCCTTTCTTCAGGAACTCCCTTAGGGTACAATGTCTGTACAGTTTTGCTGAATAGCTGGTTTTTTTGTCCTTACTTGGCTGGAAAACCGCAACAGCCAAGTGACTTACCTAGTCTCTGTTTTTCTTTCATCCTCCCCTGAACTCTGTGAAGGATTTTGTCATCTTTTACCTTGGATCTTGCTCCTACATGTTGCAGCAGATAACCAGGTGCCTGCTCTTCTGCTAGAGATTTCCTTGGTTTACCTTTCAGTGCCATCAAATTTGATCTCAGATGGCTTGAACACCCAGACTCTGTTTGACATATGAAAAAAATCTGAATGTTTTTGTAAATGGATTGAATACAGAGGCATGGGCAGAGTACCAACTAAGTTACTGCGATGTTTTTCAGAATGAAATACCTATGGACGCCTTATGTTTGCATGCTTGCTGCATTTGGTGTGTGCTCTCCCGAACTTTGGATGACACTTTTCAAGTGGCTTCGACTGAAAGCCGTGCACCCAATATTACTGGTGAGTTTCTGTTGCCAAAGTCTTGGGAATTGCAGCTAGCAGGCGTGTAACTTTTCAAATGACAATTGCCTAAGACCTGTAGAGGAACCCATTAAAAAACATGTAATTCGGTGAGCAGTGGATCTCGTACAGTCTGCTTTTGTTCTTAATATCGTGCTTTCATGTGTTCTCTGGTACCTGGTGATAAAGTCATGTTTATGCTACAGCCTTTCGTCATAAGAAGCTGAACTCTCTTCATCTCTCTCTCTCTTTCACTCAGCTGTTTTTGTTTCTTTTAACAAATTTTGAAGACCTCAGACTCGCTGTCACGTTTAGTTGAGATTGGTCAAGAATATCATGTGCTTTTTAGGAGTGCAGGAGAAAAAGTATAGGCAAACATTTATATAAGCCTTTTTTCACTAGGAAACCAGGCTAAAAATGTGATAGTTAGGTGTATTTAATTGCTGAGAATAAAGCTCCTTCATAGGAAACCATAAGTGGAGTTACTTTGCATAAGGTTTGTTCATGTGTGGCTGTTACAGTAGAGTGGTGTTATTCAGAATGTGCTTGTACTACATCACAAACTGTCCACTTCCAACCCTAGCTTTATTAATATGTCGAGAGCTGCTTTGTGTACTTTTTAGCAGCTTTGTGCATTTGTTTAACTAATAAAATATGGATAAGAAATTGCTTACCTTAATTTCCAGAGGCTCATAGGAATAAATATTTTATACTTAAACATAGAAATTTGCTATGTCAGTTGTGAAAATGCCACACATTATTGCATCAGAAGCATTGACAGTGTTCTTCCAATCAAAGAGCAATAATACGCTCAGGTACATGGTAAACACAGTATTTTATACACCTTGTGCTTTCTGCCACACATACTTGCCTTTTTTTTTTAACACTTTTTTAACACTGTAGATGCATTAATAGCTTAATACAAAGAGAATGTCTTGTGTGCATTCCTTACCAAATGTGTTTCTTCTACCATGTGAGCTATTTTCTCCTTGTAAACCAAAAGTTTTATCAGCTAGAATGATGGTGTGCTGCAAAATGAGTTTCTGGATTTTGTATATCAATAATATTAATTTAAACAAAAGCATCAACAACGTCAGAGGTTTGAAATGCTTATTTCGTACTTTTTTTTCCTTTCTCAGATTATTTCATTGTGTTTGTTGTTTGTATGTGAGGTGTTTACTTTTCTTCTGTTCCCCACATCGTGTGCATATTGCATTGTTTTTTATTTCAGTAGTAATTAACCAACCCTAATATTGATGGTAAAGTTATTGTGGATCAGTTTTTGCCTGCTAAATTAGACAAGTTACTGTTTGTGGGGAGTTTTTTGCTTGGTAGAGGACTGCAAAGTTTAATTTACTGTCACTCGAACATTTCAGGCATAAAGGTAGCCTGAATCAACAAATGGTCCAAGGCTGGAGAATGGTGCATAATCCGTTTCTTCTAATGTATATTTTCTAGGCTCTTATTCTAAGTATGGCAGTTCCCACAATAATTGGATTCAGCTTGTGGAAAGAGGTAAGAAAAGCACCTTTGTGGCTTTTCTTTTGTATGTAGGCACAATATGAGTCAAAACAATGAGCAAATATAATGAAATATACCTAGGGAAATGAAATATATACAGTGAAATAAATGCTGTCATCCACTGAGAATGTTTTGATTTGTTTTGTTTTTTAGACTGTTTACATTTTTCAGTATGAAGTATTTGACAACTCGATTTGTTAGCAGTCGCTTATTGCAATTAAGAGGTGTTTAAATGATTACTGTTACTATATTCAGTTTTTATGCTTTGGATATATGAACTGACTCAGCAAAGAAAATACTGACAAATAAAAACGTGGGATATTGAAAACTACGTTGCCTCAATCATGGTTTTAGTGAGAGAGAGTGAAGTTAGATGGAAGGAAAATTATGGGAGGCCGTATGCAGATAATCTGTTTGAAAAGCTCCCATCAAACTATAATGGAGTTAAATCCTTCGTGCAGAGCACTGTGTAGAGATTTTACATGCTACACTACAGGGAGGAAAAGCTACAGATGTTGCCATGTTTAAAATAAATACTTAGTTCTTTATTGCTGTCGTGGTTTGACCCTGGCTGGATGCCAGGTGCCCACTACAGCTGCTCTATCACTCCCCCCTCTCAGCTAGACAGGGAGGAGAAAATAGAACAGAGAGCTCGTGGGTTGAGATAAGGACAAGAAGATCACTCAGCAATTACCATCACAGGCAAAACAGACTCGACTTGGGGAAATTGAATTTATAACCAATCAGATTAGAGAAGGACAATGAGAAATAAAACCAAATCTTAAGAATAACACCTTCCGCCCACCTCTTCCTTCTTCCCAATTCCTCCACCTCCTCCCCTCAAGTGGCACAGGAGGACAGGGAATGGGGCTTATGGTCAGTTTATTATATGTTGTCTGTGCTGCTCCCTCTTCCTCAGGGGGAGGACTCCTCACTCTGCCCTTGCTCCAGTTGGATGTCCCTCTTATGGGAGATTATTCTTCACAAACTTTCTCCAGTGTGGAGTCCTTCCCACGGCTGACAGTTCTGGACAAACTGCCCCAATGGGCGTGCTCTCCACGGGGTGCAGACCTTCAGGAGCAGACTGCTCCAGTGTGAGCAGGGTCACAAGTCCTGCCAGCGGACCTGCTCTGGCATGATCTCCTCTCTTCACGGGCTTCAGGTACTACCAGGAGCCTGGTCCAGCACAGCCTTCCCACAGGGTCACAGCCCCCTTCAGGCATCCATGTGCTCTGGTGTGGAGTCCTCCATGGGCCACAGGTGGACGTCTACACTCCTGTCACCTCGATGGACTGTAGGGGACAGCCTCCCTCACAATAGTCTTCACCACAGCTCGGGGGAATCTCTGCTCTAGTGCCTGGAGCACCTCCTCACCCACTTCTCTGATCTTGGTGTCTTCACATACTCTCGCTCTTCACTCTCTATCTTTCTGCAGCTGCACAGTAGTTTTCCCCCCCATCTTAAATATGTTATCACAGAGGTGTTACCACCATCATTGGTAGGTTCAGCCTTGGCCAGCAACGGGTTTGTCTTTGCAGTTGGCTGGCATTGGCTCTCTCGGACATGGGGGAAGCTTCTAGCAGCTTCTTGCAAAAGCCACCCTTGCACAACCCCCCGTGCCAAAACCTGGCCAACCCAATACAATTGCAAGTCACAGACAGACTAGCGGGGAGAGTATCTGGAAATTTCTTAACTTCTGTAAGTGCAAAAAATATGGGAACTATTCCACAAAGGGTAACCCTCAGCTATATTAACATAGTTTCAAAATAGTTAGTTTGAGTGGTTTTATCAGAATTTAAATATAAATGCCAGTCTTGACCCAATAGTATTTTACCAGATTTTGTAACACCTATTTTATAATAGTTTATATTTTGTCTATTTTATAATAGACATTTTGATTACAACATAATCTGACTCTTTTTACATTTCTGTGCAGATATTCTTCTGGAGAGAATAGAGCAATATTCTCCTGGAAAAATAAGCTACAATTGCTCAAAAGAGCAAATCTATTATGAAATCTATTACGATAAACTAGTTTAGTTGAGCAAATAATTCCTTTTCAGATTATTTTTTAATAAAAGCAATGTGAGAGGTTGGACTCTAGAGGGCTTCATTCATTGCAGATCCAGCTTTTGCTTTTGAGCAGTGGTGAAGTTTGCTCTCCAGGTTCATAACTCATCCCTGAGCTTGGAAACTTTGATTAATAGTAATGGGACAGTGCAAATGCCTTGAGGCTCTTCATCTGTTTTTGTGGCTGTAAATGGCTGAGTGTACAGCTCAGCACCTTTCTGCTCTGCCTCAATCTGGCCTAGTCCCTCATCTAACTAGATTTTTCCAAGGGTACTGTTTTATAAGTAAAACTGGTTCTCCCTTGGGGTGGCAGCAGCAGTTCCTCTTCGTGTCTGTCTGTTGTTCTGGGAACAGTTCAGGTGTATGTGTGACAGGCGCTGCTGCAGCTTTCAGCCCTGGTACGAAACTACGGCAGTTGTTCCTGTGCCACCCTAACATGTCTGAATGTAGACTGCTGTCACTTGGCAGCTCAGTTGTCCAGGGTGAGTGGACTTCTCAGTTGAAAGCAGGCCCCCACTTCCGGCTCTCTCTCCACTGCAGCTGTCCCAAAATAAGTAGTCCCTTTAGTCTGGCATAACCGGTAAACTTCATCGTTTTCAGAAAGATCTGGCATTGGTAGCTTTCACTCAGCAGTAACATCAGCATGAATGTGCTCCAGCCCCTCAAGGCTGGCGAGCTTCTAGCCATGCCTTCTTCAGACAAATGCTCAAAATGACTCAAGGACTGACAGAATCTCCTATCTTAATAAAGGACCTGTTCTTCATTCACCCCTCAAACCTAACAGGAAAGGGAAGCCATGGTGCGGGCTTGCAATCTGAGCCGGTCTGAAGGAGTTGACATCCTGTCTGACTTCCCAGAATCCCTCCTTTTCCCCAAATTTTTTCAAGAGCATAAACTAAGATATCCTTCTACAAGGTAGCGTGCTTTCCTTCACTTCAGTGAGTGAAGTCAGAAGAAAGTTCAGGGAAGATTACTCACATAATGCTATTCTAGGAAGTTTCTTCTCTCCTGTCCTGCTTGCACAGCCACTTTCCATCACGTTACAGCAGTCCAGCCCCTGCTGCTCAAACAGATTTTCCGTGAAAGATTTATCAGCTTCTTGGTTCAGTGCTGTTATTTATATTCATTTGCATGGGAAAACCTGAGCTATGGTTTCGATGCGTTTAAGGCCAGTTAAAGTTGATTAATGTTGTTGCTGTGTAGGTTTTTAGTGGGGGGGTTAGATTTTTTTTTAATTATAAGTATTCTAATAAAATAGAGAGATGAGAACTTGTGTTTAACACACTTGTTTTGGAGAAGGTCTCCTGCTCTCAGGTGACAGCACAGGTGAACTGTGTTTTGCAAAGTATTCAAACAAAAATGCCAGGCAGGAGGGAAAACTCAAGACTTTCTGTTGTGCTTCTTAAGGCCTTAATATAATGAGATGCTCTACATATTTTTTTTTAACTGGAAATAACCAAAACATGTTTCTGTCAGTTTTTCCCTAGGATAATGACAGAGCTTTCAGAACTGCAAGAATTCTATGATCCTGATACAGTAGAACTTATGACATGGATAAAGTAAGTATGAAGTACCACATTTCTGCTTTACTGCTTTATGTCAGAGTATTTTTATCTCAGCATTTTGTGGAGCTACCTCTATTAATCTGAGTTTTCCCCTACTAAGTCGTTCCATGATGTATGGGAGAAGCATTGTTTTAAGTTTGGCATTATTCCCATGCAAAGAAACAGAAATATAATACTGATTTCAAGAGCAGAACATCCTAAACCACACAAGCAAATTATATTTAATGTCATTACTAGACCTATTTTCCAAATAAAGGTGGGCGTCTTAGGACTTGGTTCTTCACACCCTAACTTTTCAGTGGATTAGAGGATTCATGCTGATTGTAATGCCAGTGGGGCACAGAAACACCAAAAGTTTTGTGTGCATGAGCCAGTAAAATGAAATGCCTGAATGTGAGGATTTAGATACTTCAGTCAAGATATGTGCAGTGTAACATGTATGGCTGAAACTTCCCCTTTGACTAGGAGGCTGCAAGGGTTCTTGCACGTAGGGTGTAGCATGTACATAGTTCCTCCTGAGCCATATGCATAGCTAATACTGAACCAAGTTATTTTCAAAGATAGTGTTTTTCTTCCCACCAAAAGCTTCAGAACTGGATTCTGGCCTCGTTCAATCTAGCTTTGAGCTATGTCACTAGGAACTGTGCTACTCTGAAAATTACATTCCTTGTGTTCAGATAACTTACCTTTAACAGTATTTTTTTAGAATATTGTTTTCTCTGTTTATGTAGTCTTTCATGTCAACCTGCTCATCCTCAGAAAAGACAAGGCTGGTAATTATGGTGTTCCAGCCAATTTCTTCTTTCTGTCAATAGTAGTGTGTGTTGTTTGTCACTGCCGTGGCTCTTCAAGGCGGCAAGTGGAATAATGCCAAGTACCTAATGGCTTTTACATTAGTCTGCATATATTATGCTTCAAGTACATAATTAATCATGGTGAATTGCATTGAGATTCACTTAGCTAAGAGCAATTTGACTACCCTTATTTGTACCAGCTGTTCATGTTTTTAATGAAAATAAAGACTTTTTTTCTTAAGGATATACTTGGATATATGTATTGGAATTTTAATAGAATATCATTATTACAGTTTATTTTCTTAAATTCATGTTATCAGAGAGAAAATTTTATCTCAAATTTTCTCTCCAGGAAAGTTGCGCCACCTCTGTAATAAAGTGTGACAATGGCTGTTTTCTTTCACTGATACAGGAATACAGATATTGAAAAGATGAAACCAAGCCCAGAAACATAATTATTGTAGACATTATTCTGTATCATTACGCTGTTTCCTCATAGCTGACAAAATACATGGTCCTAGAGAGCAAATGAAAATAAAAGCAAATCCTTCCCTTACAAGATAACACCATGTTGTTTCTCCTTCTCCCTCCCCTCCCTCTCAAGCTTGTTTTGCCACAAGGCAGCAACCGGTTGGTAAAAGTAGTAGTTGGATCCGGGACCACTCTGCGTGGTGCGAGGAGGGAAGGAGGACGGCCGCCAGCCCCTGCCCCAGCAGGAGGCCCAGCCTTGCTAACTCCGGTTGCTGCAGGTCGGAGCTTTTCCTGGTGAGGAAAGCAGTGCCGCTGCAGTGTTAACACCAATTGTAATTAGACCCCCAATGATATCTTTGTGTGCTCTGATTCATCCTGTAGCATCCTAAAAAATTCACACAGTGTAGAGAATTAAAACCACTGTTTTGGGAAATGCAGCCTTTACTCAGGCACATATGTTGGTTTTGCAGGCGTCAGGCTCCTGTGGCTGCTGTGTTTGCAGGCAGCCCGCAGCTAATGGGTGTGATTAAGCTTTGTACCGGATGGATGGTGTCGAGCTTGCCTTTATATAATGACGATGATCTTCTAAAAAGAAATGAAAATGTGAGTATCCAGTTCCATAAATGTGTATGTACTATCGGTGATTTATAGACTGTTCCATCATGTAAGACTGATGTTGCCCATCTAATGTGTGGGAGTACTGTAAATGGTAACACTCCAGAGAAGATGACCTTCTAATTCCTCATGACACATGTTTCCATTGCTCTTCTGTGCTGCCCAGGCCACCTGTTTTTATATATATAAAAAAGCAAACTCTTTAGCGATACTTCTCAAAAAGCGGGACAAAAGCACAGCATGAAAACACAGCCTCCGGTATAGGACTTGCAGTTACAGGAGCAGTTTCTGGCAATGGCATTCCAAATACTACCTTTTCTCCAAAGTGTTTATAGTCTGAGGTGAGAAAATGACTTCTTGTAAAGAAAGATAACAAGACCAATACATAATCTCTTAAATTCATGAACAAGATTCCTTTCTGAGCAGTGTGACCATGCTGAGTTTGAGACAGGCTGTCATTTCTAAATGATTCTGAGAAATTTTTTTCTTTGTGTTTTGTCAGGGAGAAAGTTACAAAGCTGAGCAAACTTGCCCAGTGACTACCTAGCAAAGAAATCAAAATTGCTATTCTACGTTAGTTCTCAGTACGTATTTGAGTGCTCAAGGATTACAGCAGGGAAATGGAAATCTCTAGCAAGATACTTGACTTTAAAATCATCTCACAGAACTGTCTTCCTCCTCACCCAGATGAAATGAGTCAAAAAAATAAAAAGCAGAATATATTAGAAGTAATGAGGACATAGGAGTCCAACAAATAGGGAAGGGAGTATCTAGTAGATTATCAGTCCTTCATTCTGTACAGAAACAAATATCAAAATATTATTTCTGAAGACTTTTCAGGCCACTTGAGACATATAAGTTGAGAACTTGCCATCAGCAGAGACAAATACTTCCCATTCAGCTGGCCTTTACCTCACTTGTTTTGGAGATTTCAAATCCAAACATTTTATAGCATGGTGTGTACCTATATTTTGTTATTGCAGGTAAGTCGTCCCTCCCGCCTCTCCCTCCCCCTGCCAAGTATTTGATCTAAGACTGATTTTTGCGTTGCCTAAACATGTTTTCTTAATTTATAGATTTATCAGATCTATTCAAAGAGGTCAGCAGAGGATATTTATAAGATACTCACATCTTACAAAGCTAATTTTCTGGTTATTGAAGATTCAATTTGCAATGAAGTGGGCCCTGTAAGAGGATGTAGAGTTAAAGATCTGTTGGATATTGCTAATGGTCATGTAAGTAACCGTAAGAAAAAAAAGACTGTTTGAATGCATAAATAATTCATTTAAAAGTAAATCTTTGTATGATGCTGATCTTATTTTTCTGATTGTAATTGACATGTAGGCAGAGACTTACAAACTGCAGGAGTGATCAATTTAGTTTTGGTTAGTCTGTTTCTTACACATCTGTAATCTTACCCTGTACTATTCTTTAACTGCCCTAATGCCTCCTAATACGTTAGTATCTGGCTGTGCTACTTTTCTGCCAGTCATTATCATTCAACCCTATATAAATGTTTAAGACTTTTAACACCTGAAGAGGTTATTACAAAAGCAGTAAAGCCCTGCCTCAGAGGCTGTTCTTTACTAGCTTCAGAGATGAAATTTTAAAATTAATAAACTCAGTTCTTCTAAAACTCTGCCATTCAATACAGTACTGACAGGGTTACAAGTCTATTCGGTTCAGTCGTGCAGGTAGGTTAGCACCCCAATAGTTTAAACCACAGTTGGTAGAAAGATTGCTTGAATAATCTGTAGGGTTATGGAGATAGCCATGAAGGCTCCCGCAGTCATTGCCATGCTGTGTCTGTTCTGAATGCTGATAATGCTCCTCTTGCTGCCGACATAGGGAATGAGATGGCATTTGTAATGTGATCTCATTTACCACTTCTTTATCTGCTTTCTGGGAATCCAGCAGAAGTCCTGACTTTTTCTAAAGGCAGGAAAGGCCCTAAACTCACTCAGGGTTTGGTTGCTTATTCTCAGGTCAACAGGAGAGAGGGAGTCACCAGTAACTTCTAAGCAGTCACAGGTTAGCTTCATTTAATTGGTTTCCTGACAAAGAAAAAGAAATTAAGCATTTATTTGACATTACAGCCTGTTGTGTATTAACTGTACCAAGTTAAACGTTGGCTTGAATGTTTGGTTGTTTTGGGTTTTTTAATCGGGAGCATACATATGTTTCTTGCATATTGTCTTATATTCCATTCTTGGGGAAGAATACAAGCTGGTCGTCTGTATAAGGTATTTTATAAGCTCTGCTTTTGATGATACACATTTCAAAAGAACTTGTGATGGAAGCATTTAATTTCTATACTTGCTTTCCTTTGGGGAAGTGATTAGGTGTGATATGTTTGGATGGAATATACTTTGGGGAAGTATAGGGGTGATACGTTTTTAGAGAATTACTTTTTAATTTCCCCAGGAATCTATAACTGGTGTCAGTTTCACTGGTTTTCAGCATTAGTTTTCCTGAGCAGTTTATCCATGGAGGATAATGTCCCTGTTTTTCTATTATCTTTCTTACCATTGCTGTAATCTATCCTTTTCCTTTCTTTACTTTGCCATTGAAATCATGTGTTCTGTGAGTATTCCACGTTGTAGCCATATATTGATTACACCATATATCGGTTACATCGTAACAGAGTGTGTGCAAGTAACCTCCATCACTGATAAACAGCACATGTTACCTCTCAGTTTCTTCTCAGATCTGTTTTTGCATGAGTAGGTTCCTGTTCCCTCTTCACACTTCAGATGTCACCTGGAACAATTAACTACAATTTCATGATTCCGTTTCCTCATATTCATGCATCTCTTATCTCCATGCTTCCTTCATGCTTCTCTCTGGCACATAATCTTGATCTCATCTGAACTTCTGCAGCGTATTTTTACTGTCAGATTTTTAAGTTTTTGTTAGATTTTATATATCAGATTGAGTTTCTTCCTCCTTTAACTCCTAACACCCAGTTACTCAGCAGTTCATCCTAAGGAACACCTCTCAGTACTTTTCATAGTGGTTGTTGCTTGCAGTGATAATTTCAGTCAAACCAGGGGGGAAAAAACATCAAAGGACAATATCCAATGCAAGGAGCCTGTCTTTGATAAATGCCAACACAGTGCTGTCAGTACACAAAACCAGTCATTTACTATTTTTGTGTAATTAGGATTGTCAAAGTGACAAAGAGTTATCATAGTTACAGTGGAGAGATTAAGAAGAGGAAAAAGTTCATTATGAGAGTTTCACTTAAAATCTGTTCTGCTAAAAGCCTGTAATTTAAATAAGTAACAAGACAAGCAGTGTATACATTTAAATGTAGACAAATGAGTGTTCAATATTTTTAGTTCTGGAAAAAGTAGTGGAATGGCCAACAGAAGTAAAGTATTTTCTTCTTGGAAAACTGACATAGTTTGTTTCTGAAAGTTGGTAACAGTGTGATGTCTCAGGAGGCTTGGAAAGAAAACTCTCAGTTTGCTTTCTAACAGAAATTGTCTAACTTGTATTGAAAGACTATCAAGACTTTCTGAACTAGTGGAAGCCTGTGGATATGTAGTTGGAGATTGCAGCACTTACTCCTTCCCAAAGGAAGTGAGACAGCAGACAGGCTGTTGTGTTGTTGACACATCTATGGATGTGTTTTCCAAATTGCTGTGTTGAAGAAGATAAATTAATACTTTCTATACTAGAACTAGGATATAGTTCCAGTCCGATATCTTGGGTTTTGATGGGGCAAGACAGATGTTTTCCAGCAGTCTTGCTCAGAGGAAATATTTTTGTGTTTGGTAGCCACCGACAGATTTTTCTCTGTGAATTTGTCACAGAATCACAGGAATCATCTAGTCCAGCCCCCCTGCCAGAGCAGGGTCACCTACAGTAGGTCACACAGGAACGCCTCCAGGCGAGTTTTGAATGTCTCCAGAGAAGGAGACTCCACAACCTCCCTGGGCAGCCTGTGCCAGTGCTCTGTCACCTTCACAGTGAAGAAGTTTTTCCTCATATTTTTGTGGAACCTCCTGTGTTCCAGCTTGTACCCATTGCCCCTTGTCCTGTCATTGGACATCACTGAGAAGAGCCTGGCTCTGTCCTCCTGACACTCCCCTTTAACGTATTTATAAACATTAATGAGGTCACCCCTCAGCCTCCTCCTCTCCAAAAAGACCCAGCTCCTTCAGCCTTTCCTCATAAGGGAGATGTTCCACTCCCTTCATCATCTTTGTGGCTCTGCGCTGGACTCTCTCAAGCAGTTCCCTGTCTTTGTGCCATTAGAAGGAATTGTGAAGGGATTTCTTCAAGATGTTGGATAGCTGATACTAAAACACACAAGGGATTTGCTTCCAAGTCAATCAGTTGGAATCTAGAAGGCGATATGTGCATGTATCTTCAGTCTTTATTAGGTATATCCAACTTGGCCTGGAAAAACTAATTAAGAATTTCCTTCCCTAGATCGGGGGTAACTCTTTGTGCAGCTCAGGTTTGAAGTACTGGGTAAACAGCGCGTGGGTAACTTCCACAGTTCTTCATTGTATGAATGAAGTGCACTGATTTTCATGTGTGCTATCCTGACAAAGGTATTAATTCACGTAGGCTGTTTTAGATGGTTAAATAAATTGTAGGGGAATATGTTTTCAATTTATCAGAATCATACAGTATGGAAATTAAATGTCTAGCGTAAAAGAAATTTTCAGAATACGGAAGTAAATTAAATGTACAAAATTATGTTCTGTAACTGCTTATCCTCAGTATTTTAATTAAATTTTCTTTTCTGACAGGTGGTTTGCGAGGAAGGCGACAGCTATGCCTACTCAAAATATGGACGATTTTGTCATGAAATCAAAATGAACTACTCTCCATATGTGAATTATTTTACTCGAGTATACTGGAATAGATCCTACTCTGTATATAGAGTCAACACTGTGATATCATTCCAGTCATGAGAAAGCACGCAAGATGCTTTCTGAGGATTGATTGTGAATGAAATTCAGTTGAAAAAGTTCCTTTTGATCAAGGAAGTTATTTTTGGAGATACATGTGCGCACATGCAGTGTATTGACAACTTTATTTAACAAACTGAAATTCTCTGAACTACAGATCAACAGACGCAGATATCATCCTTGAAGGAAACAGGAAAATTCGTCAATTTTACAGTCTCTACACAGTGTGACAGTCTTCCACGGTTTTGCATTTTTTGTTCCCATTAAAAATCATTTTACTCTTCATATAAATAAGATTTCTAACTTTAGTGTTAGAGAGCTGATGTGGGTAGACTTCAGTAAATGCAGAAAAATTATTTAAAGTCATTTAAGTTATATAGCTTTTATTTTCTAGCAAGAAAGTGATCGGTATCCCGAGTCTTTTCAAGTAAGTGTTTGGGGTTTTTGTTTTTTTGTTGTTTCTCCTTTTTGTCTTCCACTGTTAACATTTCTATGTTTATCAAACACGTATTCATACACCTTAGGTGTAGCTATGGTGTTTATATAAATCAAATAAGGAAGATATTATTTAAAAAACACTTCCATAGATTGAGGCACTGATCTCTGTGTTGTTAGAGACATGTTGGTGGAGGCGCTTGGACTTTGACCTAGCAGTAGGAGTTTGGAAAGAACTCGTCTTCAGGATTTTTCCGTGCTTAAATGTGTACGTGTGGATGCATGTGTGCCTTTGCAGCCATCAGAATGGGCCAGGACACCGTTTGCCAGACTTGGTTTTAGGCAAGTGTAGCAGGACAACTGGGTTTGCTACTGAGACTTCTGCACTTCTGTTTCACCCCCTCTGTGTGCCTGCTGGCGTG